ACCCCTTGCCCCCACTTCACAAGGAGGGACTCTGCACCGTCTATCTGAGGCACAGTGGCCTCCCTTGGACACAGGCTCTCCCTTATAATGACCGCTACCCCCCCGCCCCTACCCCGGGCCCTCGGCTGATGGAATGCCTGGAAACCCGGTGGGCACAGATCAACAAGGGGAACTCCCCCTTCTATGCCCAACCAGGTCTTGGTGATACCTGCCAGGTCCGCTCCCCCCTCGTGAATGAGTTCTTGGATTTTATTTTGATTATGATTTCTATTGTTATTGTTTCAAAATATTTTTTATAATTTTAGTGTTTTAATGCTGTAAACAGCCCAGAGTTGTTTCAATATGAGATGGGCAGCAAAATAAATAAATAAATAAATTCACCAAAAGGCTATTATTTGCGCTGTCTCCTTTTATTATCAAATCAGATCAGGTGGCATTATTTTCAAAATATTTTGCACTCATGGAAAATATCGTGCAAGACTATTTTATTGACAAAAATGCCCTTAAGCTGAGCTTTACTTCTAGGAACTGTAGAGCTATGTGCTTATTTGTTATTATCTCGTTCTGTTTTCTGGTTTTTGTTCTACTCAAGGTAGAGTAGATGTGCCCTAAAATCTGCCCTAGAACTCACAGGGAGCCCCGATTCCATCTCAGTCCCAAGACTGGCCAAGGTTTGTGACCTGCTACTGCTTTATATGAAAAAGCATATTGGCATAATAAAAATGCATTGGTGCTTGATCAAAACAAGGAGGAAATAAACAATACCTCAGATAAAGTAACAGAAACATGATAAATGTCAGCTATTTGGTAGCAAAGACTCAGAAGCAGCCGTCGGACACTTCTGCTTTCTCCAGTTATACCAATAAATCGAAGCACAACTCTGAGATTCCTGGGTCAAAAAGGAAAAAATAAATAAAGCCTCCCACTCAAAAAGGCTCTTTAAATTGCTAGTTTGAACCTTTAAAGCCTTTTTGATTTGGGTCAGATACTTGAAAGACTGCCTATCTGTAATATGGCCCCTGTTCCACAAAAAAAGGTGAACTAGGGGAATTCTGGGCAAAATAGTGTTGTTCTTGCTCCAAACTATTTTTCCAAGGGAGCCCTTTTTTTGAGTCTGAGTGAATTCACTCAGATTTAAAAAAAAATTAAAAACCACCAAAAAGATCTTAGCCTTTATTGCTTGAATTATATTTTATTTCAGAATCTACTAGAAATAATGTTTTGTGCTACATTATGATCTCTGGTACATTTTAAGAACTATATTTTATTATTTGTTTAGTAGAATTTTTTCAAGATCTTATGCTGATGGTGGCCTATCCCAATTTAATAAATAAAATAGTTGTACTATATATGGGATGTGAAATTTTAAAATGCTCTAACTCTTGACTGCAATCTAATAGTCATCTGGATTTTTAAAGTTCAGATATTTTTAAAATAAATGTGTTGTTATTGAACTGAATTGAGCATAAAATATGCAAATTATTACAAACTTAATATGCATTTTCAATATAAAGTTATTTTACATAATTCAGAGGACTTTGGGATCCAAATCAAGCTACATAGCAATAAGTAAGATCTGTTAAGAATTTGTTCAAATTCTATGTTGACTTTTTGAAGACCAGTTTTCAAGCTATTTATATTTCCAAGGACTTACAATTCTTAATATCCCTGCCAGAAAAGAGTGCAAATAATGATTCTTACCCAGAAATCCAGTTTGAAGCCAAAGAAGCTACTTCTGCAATGATCCCACTTTTTCCTGATCCTGCCACACCACAAACAACAGTTACTTTTCTGTTTAAAGATGTAACCTGATTCTTCAGCTTGCTCAAGATTTCTCTTCTTTTTATATGTCTAATCCTATTTGAAGTGGAAAAGCATATTTTTGTAATGTCATCGCATAGGTGAAAGTTGCAATTTTTAATCAATTTAAGCAAAACAGTTTTTCCCAGACTACTCCTACTCCTACTATTACTACTATTATTACTACTACTATTAATATAGTAATAGTAATAGTAGTAGTAGTAATAATAATAATAATAATAATAATGATGATGATGATGATGATGATGATGATGATGATGATGATGATGATGATGATGATGATGTTGGAAGGGACCTTGGAGGTCATCTAGTCCAATCCCCTGCTCAGGCAGGAAACCCTATACCATTTCAGACAAATGGCTGTCCAGTCTCTTCTTAAAAACTTCCAGTGTTGGAGCATTCACAGCTTCTGGAGGCAGGTTGTTCCACTGATTAATTGCTCTAACTGTTAGAAAATTTCTCCTTAGTTCTAGGTTGCTTCTCTCTTTGGTTAGTTTCCAACCATTGCTTCTTGTCCTGCCTTCAGGTGCTTTGGAGAATAGCTTGACTCCCTCTTCTTTGTGGCAGCCCCGGAGATATTGGAACACTTCTATCATGTCACCCCTCATCCTTCTCTTCATTAAACTAGACATACCCAATTCCAGCAAACGTTCCTTATATGTTTTAGCCTCCAGTCCCCTGATCATCTTTGTTGCTCTTCTCTGTACTCTTTCTAGAGTCTCAAAATCTTTTTTACATCGTGGTGACCAAAACTGGATGCAGTATTCCAAGTGTGGCCTTACCAAGGCATTATAAAGTGGTATTAACACGTTACGTGATCTTGATTCACTCCCTCTGTTAATGCAGCCTAGCACTGTGTTGGCTTTTTTTGGCAGCTGCAGCACACTGCTGGCTCATATTTAAGTGATTGTCCACTAGGACTCCAAGATCCCTCTCACAGTTGCTACTATTAAGCAAGGTACCATCTATACCAGGGGTCTTTAAATTCGGTCCTTTTATGACTCATGGACTTCAACTCCCAGAATTCCTCAGCCAGCATGCATTTGGTTTTTCCTGCCTAAATTTAGAACCTTACTTTTTTCATCATTGAATTTCATTTTGTTAGATAGCGCCCAATGTTCAAGTCTGTCAAGATCCTTCTGTATCTTAAGCCTATCTTCTGGAGTGTTGGCTATTCCTGCCAGCTTAGTGTCATCTGCAAATTTGATGATTTTCCCATCTATCCCCTCATCCAAATCATTGATGAAGATGTTGAAGAGAACTGGGCCCAGAACAGAGCCCTGGAGCACCCCACTACACACTTTCTAAAAGTCTTCTAACAGACTTGTCTCAGTAACATTCAGAAGTATGCTTTTAGACTGTTTATAGGAGTACTAATATCTTGCTTTGCACTTAAACAGGAAAGTGTTAATGGCGACAGAATGGCTACAAATGTATTTTATAGCAGCTGCAAAGCTGGTAACCTGCAGGAACCTCCTTTCTTAGGAGAAGCTGTAGGTAAGAAGCCCTAGGAAGTGCTAAAAATGCTTGGAGAAACCTTCCCATAAAAACATCTTACTTGATTTGCCTTTTGTACCTACAATAACATTTTCAAGACTATGGGAAGACTCTGATTCAGTGGAGCATATTGATCAGGAAAGATGTTTGGCAAAAAAAAAAGGGGGAGGCTAAAGTGAGAATTAAGAAATTAGATGATGGGATTTATCAGAGGGAATATTTAAAAATTAAACATCTGTTTGAATATGCTCAATAGTAGTAACTGTGAGAGGGACCTCAGAGTCCTAGTGGACAATCATTTAAATATGAGCCAGCAGTGTGCTGCAGTTGCCAAAAAAGCCAACACAGTGCTAGGCTGCATTAATAGAGGGATAGAATCAAGATCACGTGAAGTATTAATACCACTTTACAATGCCTTGGTAAGGCCACACTTGGAATACTGCATCCAGTTTTGGTCACCACGATGTAAAATAGATTTTGAGACTCTAGAAAGAGTACAGAGAAGAGCAACAAAGATGATTAGGGGACTGGAGGCTAAAACATATAAGGAACGGTTGCTGGAATTGGGTATGTCTAGTTTAACGAAGAGAAAGACGAGGGGGGACATGATAGCAGTGTTCCAATATCTCCGGGGCTGCCACAAAGAAGAGGGAGTCAAGCTATTCTCCAAAGCACCTGAAGGCAGGACAAGAAGCAATGGTTGGAAACTAACCAAAGAGAGAGGCAACCTAGAACTAAGGAGAAACTTCCTGACAGTTAGAACAATTAACCAGTGGAACAACCTGCCTCCAGAAGCTGTGAATGCACCAACACTGGAAGTTTTTAAGAAGAGACTGGACAGCCATTTGTCTGAAATGGTATAGGGTTTCCTGCCTGAGCAGGAGGTTGGATTAGATGACCTCCAAGGTCCCTTCCAACTTTATTATTATTATTATTATTATTATTATTATTATTATTATTATTATTATTATTATTATTATTATTATTATTATTATTATTATTATTATTATTATTATTATTATAAATAGAAATATTTTGGATATAAATGAATTTTAGTTTAAGAGGGATGTTCAAGTAACAGTATTTTTTCTTTCTTTTTTCTTTTGTTTTTTTGACATGAGATATATAAAAATGTTGAGATGGTTTATATAAAGGAAATGTTTTAGATATTTAAGTATAATTGATTTTGAGAAAACTTCAATGGATAAAAATGTTTTGAATAGATCTAAAAGATTAGATAATTGGATGTATTCAATGGAATATTTAAAGATTAAACATATGTTTGAATATGGTTAAAAAGAGAAAAATTCTGGATATAAATGTACATTAGCCTAAGAGAGACATGTATTTTAAGTAGTATACTATCTTCTTATTTCTCTCTCCCCCCCCCCTCTCTCCCCTATGTGGATTATAGAATTTTAGTTAACTACTACTTCCCACTGCAGTCCCAAGGAGGGACCAGCCAAGTGGAATGGAAAGCAACATGCAGTTTGGGCTAATTTTGGGGTAATATAGGTTTATACTAAACCAAATCTAAATACTGCAAAGCACCAATAAACCTTAGGTGGACTGCTAGCGTTGGAAACAAGTCACAAAATCCCTGCACCCCAAGGACAAGCTCCACTTAGAAATAGGGTAAGCAAATTTGTTATTTGTTTAGTGTTTTTTAAGTCTGTATAATGAAAAAAAACTGGAGGCACTATCTATGTTAGAATGGGTGATATGGGACTTTAAACATGATTCCCGACAAAGCTGTTGTGACCTGGGCTGCATGCTGACTAGCACTTCTTATGTGAGTGGAAACTGTAATTTTCAATCCCACTCATCAGCTCCATGTCTGTGCTGAAGCAATGAAATGCTTAGCAATTCAGGTGGAAGGGTTATTTGCAAATTACGGTAAACACTCAAATAAATATTTGCCTGCTCTGTCTAAAGTCAGTTTAGTGCATGCTACCAGGAAGAGAATAGACTGCCAGTCTAGTAGTAGAATAGATTGAAAAGAATAGGCAACTAACACAACACACTTTTTACCTGTCTGATTTTACAGCTCCTTCCCAAAAATTTCCCCAGACTACACTAATGTTTCATTATTGTATGGTGATATAACATTAAAAGTATGCAATATAGTTTTTTTCCCTTGGGGAATGGCCTGAACACTGTTCAAATGAAGGGTTGAATTCAGCATGCTTCAAACATCCACAGTACAAGAAGCTAATAATGATATCTTTATATATTATAGTACCACATATATTAGTGAACTCTTACAACTCATTCCACTTTCAGTATATTCCTTTTGATGAAAAGTATTTCTGGTAAGTTAAGCAATAGAACCTTACAAAACTTACAAGGCCTGATAATGCTGAATGTGTTCCAGAATCTCTTCATCATTAAGAATGTTAAACTCTTGCTTTCTTGTAGTATGTAGTCTTTCTGGAGCTCCTTCTGAACTGATGATTCTGGTCAAATTAAAATAGAGAAAAATAATTTGTATGTTATATAGTGTCCATGAAAGCATGAAATTATACTCACAAAGGCATATTGAAGCAAACATGCTTTGCTTTGCTTTGAGGGATTCCGAATTCCATTTGAATTCAGATATATCCTAGATTATTTTGGATTAGTCTGATTCAGTATTGGATATAAGGTTTGTTTCCCTTGTGCAGTATTTATTTGAAATTACCATTTTCACAAAAATGAAGAATGGTTTAATATAAATAGACATATGCACAAAATATTCAATTAACAATATCAACATTTTTTCAAAAATATTACTTTTTTAGCATCACACTTCATTGAATATTACTACTACTTTCAGTGCATCACCATTTATCTTTTCATGTCTTATAGGTTGAATCCAAACTTATACAAACTTAGAACAGACTCACAGAAATTAAGTTGGTCATGATTTCCAATTAATTAGAAATGATCTATAAATATAGGCAAAAAAATTAATTTGTAATTTGTCTTAAGAAGTGAATCTGAGCATAGAATGTAACAACAATGTGTTCTGTTCTATTTCTAGGATTAAGTATAGAAAGCCAGTTGACGGAACCCTAGTTTTGTGAATAAGTTATGCATTGAGTGTCTACAGTTCTTTTCAAAAAGCAGATATGACGCTAACCTGTTGAAATGATTAATAACAATTTTCTGAAAGTCATTGCAAAGGCATTCCAGATAGTAGGCATGGGACCTGTTCCTGTTGGGATTGATGCCACCTTTTCCCCAGCTAACATTCTTTTTGTAAATATTTGTATGACGAAGCTGTAAAGGCAAATTTATTAACTCCTTATATCAAGGAAAGCGCTTTCAAGTAGATTAACAGAATAAAAGATCCAAAGCTTTTTATACTCTTGACTGAAAAGCAGATATAGTATATAATGGCGAACAAATTGTAAACAAATAAAGTGATAAATTAACTTTTCAAATTTCCATTAGCATTATGGTATGTAGCTGATTAGGAAATCAAGATTTTCAGCATACCCAATACATTTTTCTCAAACAGCTGCATTGCCTAGCCACAGATCTTGATAAGCTTTACTATACTATAATAAGATGCATTACAACTCTCAGTTCTTTACAGTTCCCTCTGTAAAGTAGGGTACTTTTACATTTACCCTTACTTGTATAGAACATGACAACCTATGACCACTTGATAATCCTACCCTAGAATGAATGCTTTTCACAAAGTTTTGATGTTCTTCATTAATAGTTTTGTTCACTTCTAGTTTTAGTGGGTGGATGTCAATATATTTAGATGCCTGAGGATCTGACAGATTGCCGTGTAGGTCAGTTATATTTCTTTTGAAGCAGTGACAGTGATCCTCACGTGTTCCTTGGACTCGGAATCCTTGATCCACTTCCTGCTGCAGAGCTTGCAAAACATAGAGAAATCAATTTAATATAATAAATCTCTCCTTGAACAAATGTAACAAGATACCATACTGATTGTATTTTGGATGGCCTCCTTACTGGTTCTGAACAACGTGGCTGCATCTTCTTGACCAAGAGCAATTGTAGCATATTCCTGAAGTATCTTATGCAGTTTCTGGAAAGACTCCAGCCATTTGCTTTTAGCTTGCTGTCTGCGACTTGGATCTTTACTGAAGATATCTCTGTACACTGTGCTGGGCAGACAACATAAAGTGAACAAAGTATGAGAACCACTTTCAAATTAATAAGACACTCTTCTCATCTTAATATAATATCCACTCACTCTGGTGATAAGTGAAAGCAACTACTTGAGAATTTTCTTTATATTGTATTATGGACAAAAGAAATATGGGGTTATATAGAGAAATTGTGTTAGTCTAGATCTGGGATTGCCTCCCAAAGCTTGTTTGCTTGCTTTCACCTTGAACACCCAAAGTGGGAAATAAACAAAAAGAAGCTAGTATAAATAAAAAATATATAAAAGCAAGTTCATTTTGAAACATCATAATGATACAACCATTAGCTTTCAAAGGCTTGGATTAAGAGAGTCTCTAATGGCAGAAAAGGGGAGCCAAATACATCTTCTAAGGAGTACATTCCAAAGACAGGGAGTGATGCTGAAGAAAGTCCACTAGATGAGCCTCTGAACCATAACAAACTTTAGAAGAGTCTCTACAAATCTTAATGTCTTGTTAGTTTCATAATAGGAGAGAATATTGTTCAAAGTCAAACAGTTAGGCTCTATGGTACTTGGAGTTTTAAAACTTTACAGTAACATCTTACTTGTATCTGGAAAACAGTAGTACAGATCTTTTAATGTGGACATCACTTACTAGCCTACCTGTTGCATTTTGCACCAGTCACAACTTTCAGACATTTTTCAGTTATCATCACATAAAATAAAAAGAGGTATAACAAGTTGTAGGTAATTATTGCAAAAACTGACCAACACAGAAATGGCTACAAATGTCACACACCCATAAATGTATAAAAGTATTTTCTATCCAAGCTGCTACCTAGGAATTCGATGATACCTGAAGTTCATCAAGGAGCACTCCCAAACTGCAGACCTGTTCTTTCAAGGGAATGCAACTCCACCCAGAACAGGCTAAACTACAATCTATGAGTCAAATTTCCTACTGAAAGAAAACCTGCATCTACTGTCTTGTCAGTATTTAATTTTAACATGCTTTCCGCACAGCACATTACTGAACTTAACCCAAAGTTTAAAAGCACACTTGCTTTCTTGGGGCTAAATGGTGATAATCATTTGAACTGGGTATCATCAGCATATTGAAAATCTCACTAAAAACTGTGCTTGACCTTTTCTTGCAGTTTAATATAATGTCAGACCACATAGAGCACAAAAGAGAACCCTGTTTGACACCATACATGGGTGGCCTAACTCTGAAATAATAATCCCCGAGTACCATCTTCTGGTGACAGGGAGAACCAGACACTAGAAAATAATGCCCCCAAGACCTAATCCCAGTCAGAAAATCCATAGAGATATCATGGTTATTGGTATAGAAAAGCTCAAAATCCCAGTAAAAAAGTAGAAAAAATTTCCTCTACCCTTATCCAATATTTAGTATTGATCATGCAGCATAATGATCAAAGCTGTCTCTGTTCTACAGAGCTGAAATTTTGACTAAATTAGGCAGAAAAGTAGTCTCCTCCAGATATATCTGGACATTAGGAAGTCACTAATTTCTTACTTTAATCAGAAATAGAATAGATATTATTTGGAGAAAGATAGGGGAACGCTTACTTGAATCTGCACCCATAGGCTTGAGTTCTCCTAGTTTTAACTTTAATCTTCTAGAAACAAATAGAGTCAATGCAAATTTAATTTACCACAGTCGTGCAAATATTCCAGATGCACTGAATCAAGTGAGATTATTCATGAAGGCATAAGAAAAATAGCAAGTTTAGTGTTAATAAAGCCAAATTAGACAGCTAAGAGTTCATAAATTGCATTAAGAAAGACTGTAAATGTGGTTTGCTTAACTTTGGTTTAATATATTGCAGGTATTTAATACGTTTCTAAGTGATAACTTATGGTTTAGCATGTTATGCAATTGAAATGACAGGGTGAGCTGCTTTGCTTCAGCTAGCTGCCTCACTATCATATGCACTTGATGTTCTTGCCTTACTGCAGCTTGCTTCAGTAAGTCGAGTTCTAAGAAGAACAATCTGAAACAATACATGAAACATCTTTTCAAAGTAACACACAGCCTTACTATAGGGCAGTGATGGCGAACCTTTTAGAGACTGAGTGCCCAAACTGCAACCCAAAACCCACTTATGCATCATCGAGTGCCGAGTGGGTGTGGCCCTTTGGGTGGGCGTGGCCCATTGGGTGGATGTGGCCCATTGGGTGGGCGTGGCTGCGGTGGTAACAGCAGTGGGACTAAAAAGTTCAATCAATCAATTCCAACTTTGCAA